TTTTTGCTTATGTGGTGCTGAGGAATCAAACCCAGGGCCTCATGCATGCAAAGCAAGTGCTCTACCACTGAGCCAGCTTCCCAGCCCAGCTTGTGAGACTTTTATCTCCAATTAACTACTTAGAAAAAACTGGAAGTGATGCTGTGGCTCAAAGTGGTAGAGCACTAGCCTTGAGCAAAAGACCTCAGGAACAGCAGCCCAGGCCCCAAGATTAAGCCCCACAACAACAACAACAAAAGAATTTTGCAGATCAAAGGGGAATGGATATAATTTTTAGACTGACTGACTTTCCTTAGCCTCCATTGTATACATCACTCAGGAAATTTGTGTCTGTATATAAATACTCACTGTTTGATCAGTGAGAAATCCAGCCATTACGTGACTAGGAAGGAGGAAACAGAGGTTGGTCATAATGATATTTTAGGAATCTGTTTGTGAATTATGAACTAACCTAGGATTTGTTGTTACTGATGCAGTGTTTAGAAAGAAAGGATTTCTAAACTGAGTTAATGTATAAAATACTGCTTTGATGCCATAATAAAAATATTAATACTTTAAAAAAAAAAGAAAGAAAGGATTTCTCAGTTATCCAGAAAATATTGTTTGCGTGTGTGTGTGTGTGTGTGTATGTGTGTGTGTGTGTCTATGTGTGAGAGAGTTTAAGTAGAACTCAATTTGTACTAGTTATATTTCCAGTATTTATGTTGTCTCTCTCTCGTGGTAATGTTAATATCTTTTCTAAAGTCACAGGATATAATTTTTGTCATAGACAATAACAGCACTTTTTCATTGGGATATTGCTAAATATGTGTTAGAATATTTAGTTCCTAGTAATAAGTGGTATGGCTCATTATCATGGTTGCTAAGCAGTGAAGGAGGATGCTCAGTCCTGCATACTATTCTAAACTTACACCCTGCCTTTGGCTCTCTGGCTTCCAGTTTGCAGGTGGCAATGTCCATAGCCATAGGGACAAGAAGGAATGCAGTGGATGATGTGCATTTGTGTCCATGTCATCATTATTTTGGTTTAAAAAAACCAATACCTCTTAGTGTGATTATGTTCTTATAGAAGATTAATAAGGACAATTAAAGCATTTATTCCATTCCTCTCTTGGCTGATTGACACAGATACAAGGAAATGAGGAATCCGCAATATTTTGTTAGTATGTGGCTTCTTGGTCCCACTGAGAGTGAATGGTTTTTATCAGTATATGCTTTCATTCACACTGTCTGATCTACAGGCAGTATAGTATGCTTGTAATTAAGAAAAAGAGAGAGATATCACATGGGACTTATGTGGTATAGCAGTGCTGCTTCTAGAGCCAAGGATTAGTCAGTCACTCATTGAATTTCAGGATATCTGCATTGTGAAATTTACAAGATGTGTACTTTCCACTCCCGAGTTTAAGTAGTCCTAGTTCAGTAGTACTAGGTAATTGTGCCAGGATTTCAAATGCAGTAGAAGCTGACAGTCTTTCTTTTTTTATGTTAGCTTGTTAGAGGCAGAGAGTAAGATGACAAGCTCTTTCATAACTGCCTTTCCTGCCAGGTCACTGTGCCAAGACATCTTATTATGGATCCTGGGGAAGTTGGAAAGGATGAAGGCAATCACTAGCCTGAAAGGATTTGCAGGATTGGACAAAACTGTGCCCTCTCTCCATCCTCAGTGCCAGTTTAGAGCTGCCACCCGAGGTGGCATTATGATTACCATCAAAGAAGCCACCAAGTAAGTTCACCCCACAATTTAATTTTACTCAATAGGCCACTCTTTGGCTCAGCCACTAAGGGGCGCCGAAAGAGAAGAAACCAGAAACTCCAGCAGCTGAGGCGATTGCTATTTATATTCTGTGAACCCAATGAGAGCCCTCAACCAGCACTCCAGGTTTTCTCCTAGATGCCAGCTAATAGTAGGCACAGTGACTGAAGCCTGGCAGCTCTGCCTCTGCCTCACAGGCCCACTTAATTCTCACAGCCTTTGCCAGGGAGTCAAAGTAAAGGGCAGCACATGTTCACCTCAACACAGAATAACCCGATTCTATTTCTGACTCATGAAGGGGTGGAGTATGTTCATAGGCTTATTCCCAGGGGAAATGTCTGACAACTATTTTGGTGCAGCTTTATGATAGGCCTTGTTTTGAAAAGAATAATGAGTATTAGTGGAATGGATAATTTATATCTCTAGTATCTTACAAGTGTTTCTTTTTTTTCTTTTCTTTTTTTTTTGGTACCAGGAACTGAACCTAGGGTCTCATGTATGCTAGGCATGTGCTTTTTCTCTAAACAGTGCCCCTGCCCCACAAACACATATTTTCAGTTTCAAAACTCCTTTGAATGACCTCCAAAAAATGTATCTTCATATGTTCTATATATATACAAGTATATGGTAAATTTTCTGGGAGAATAGAAAATGGAAACATTCTGGGAAGATGTTACTTCAGACCCAAGTTCCTATTGGTCATGTCTGAATGTAGTTTTTAACTGATCCAGTTACCTGATTGGATTCCATGTTACATTCAAAGTCCTACTGAATATTAACTTTTCTGGAACTAAATGTAATTGTTTTTTGGGGAAAAAAATTAGGTGCAGGTTCTGGCTCTTGAATGTAGGGCCTGGGTGCTGTCTTTGAGCTTTTTCTACTCAAGGCTAGTACTCTACCTGAGCCACAGTTCCATTTCCAGCTTTTTGGTGGTTAATTGGAGATGAGTCTCATGGAGGGGGCTGGGAATGTGGCTTAGTAGCAGAGTGTTTGCCTAGCATGCATGAAGCCTTTGGCTTGATTCCTCAGTACCACATAAATAGAAAAAGCTGGAAGTGATGCTGTGGCTCACTAAGTGGTTGAGCCTTGAGCAAAAGAAGCTCAGGGGCAGTTGCCCAGGTTCTGAGTTCAAGCCTGAGGGTTGGCAAAAAAAATCTCATGGACTTGCCTTCCTTGGCTGACTTGAAGCCATGATCCTCAAATCTTAGCTTCCTGAGTAGCTAGGATTACAGGCATGAGCCACTGGCACAGGCTTAGTGCTTTTAAAATTTAAGAGTAGTAAAACAGTGCTTTTATAGATAATTGTCGGAAGTGGTGCTGTGGCTCAAGTAGTAGAGTGCTAGCCTTGAACTGAAGAGCTGAGGGACAGCGCCAAGGCCCAGAGTTCAAGCCCCACAACCAACCAAAAAAAAAAAAGATAATTGTCATATTTTGCTAATATTTGAATAGAGTACTTTGTTTTAACAATTAAGATGGTTCATAGAAGCTTAGAAGTAACACTTGTCCATATCAACATTTCTTCAAAAACAGAATACGGTGGAATAATCATAAACTATAGATTATTCATACTACCGAAGAGTACAAAGGCCATATTATACCTGACCTAGTAGATATAGATGACCTGACCAAGGAGCTGGTCTGCCACATTTACTTTAATTATTGTACTTTTCAGTGAGACAAACCAGTATCTTGTCATCTTTTTTCTCAATTTAGTCTGAAGAATGCAGAAAGAGGACAACAAAAATCAATCATTAGTCTATTCACTGTTTGTTATTTTACTGCTTGTTTGTTTCAGTGAATTTTCCATACCTTTATATTTATATGATATAATACTGAATCTTAGTTTTTCATTTATCAAATGAATTAAAAACAAAACCCATAGCATCTTATGAAAAGTTTTTTAAATTGTGTACAGTAATCATAGCATTCTTTTTAGAAACTTAGCCAAATTTTATTAATTGACAATCACAATGAAACCTTCCTTTCCTTCCTTCCTTCCTTCCTTCCTTCCTTCCTTCCTTCCTTCCTTCCTTCCTTCCCCTTCC